CTGTGTAATATTTTTTCGGCTCACAGATTTTCTGCTTAGTTGCCAATTCGCAGATTTTTCTTGTACTGTAAGCAACTTAAAACTTGAAACATTTATATTTAAAAAAAATCGGCTGATCTTGTGTCTGATAAAAGATTGTCGGCGTTGTTTCTTCAGAATAATTGTGCCGTTGTTAGTTTAATATTCAATTATTTGGCATGGTTGCCTGGAATGAACTTCTATCGAGACATATGAAAGTTTATATGACTTAGTATTTTTCAAAAATATTCATTTTCGGCTTTTTATAATTTTATTTTATGTTAGCGTTGTATCGCAAGTGGTGCGAAGCTCCGCTTCGCCTCTATGTTAAATTGGAGCATCATTCCTCAAGTAAGGAATGTGTTTTACAGAATCACACCTATTTATGTTGACTTGCATGCTCATTTTCTGGTAAATTTAAATTTAAACTACCGACAGCTATTTCTGATAATTCGTGGTTGTTTTGACAGCATATTCTTGTTCTATATTAGTTGTTTTGTACCGACACAATTTTTAAATGATCATGAACGAAATGATTTATCACTTAAGCAGGACTTGTTGATTTTTTAAATTTTCAGAGAAATTTTCATTTTTTTGAGCTCAAATTTCATTTGAGCGGTTCAATTTCTTTACGTTTGCGATTAGCAAGCGTTATCAAATCGGAATGTGGACTTTTTCGGGTAAACAACTAGTTTAACAGAATAGTTGAATCATTAATGATGCCCATATGCAGCTGACATAGTCAATTTCCTGAAAGATCAAATTAAGCTACTGGGTGGGTACTAGTTGCTACAGGGTAGTTTCAGGGGGGACTTGAACCTTTTTAAAGTTTCTTTTTTAAATAATCAGTTTTTTTCGGCTCAAAATATGCCCACTCAAAAATTGTTTGCCTTGTTTCCTTTTTGTAAGTTTTGTTCAGTTGCTAATTTGAATTTTAAATATCTTGCTTTGTATATTTACTTCGAATTCCTGTTTTCTAATGGGTTTCAGCTAAGTAAAAATGGGTTTCAACCAAGTAAAAATGGGTTCAACCAAGTAAAAGTTAAGAAGCTTTGACCGTTTTTTTACTCAACTAAAAAACTACCGTGCCAATTCTCAGATTAATTGTTCAATAAAGAAAACCGATTTTAGAAATCTTCTCTACTCTACCGGCCACTACCTGCTTTTAGCAGAAAAAAATTCGGAATGTCAAGTTTTTGAATTTTGACTGTTTTTAAGAAACTTTTTGAGTTTTCTTAAAAACTACCCAAGCAAATCTGCGATGAAAATTTCAGTTGAAAGAAGCATTTGCGCAATTTTTTCCTGTGGAATCGATAATTTTTATAAAGCAAAAGTTATGTTTTTGGGAAAAGTCCAAAACTCAAAAAATTTCACTTCTCGTTTATTTTAGTAGTAAAACAATAAGGTTTTGAGCTAAGTCCAATTTTTAAAACTATCCATTTCGTCCCGCATCAGTATAAGAAATTCAAATTTAAATACGTACCTCCAGCGTAAGCTAGGCCCTAGGTTTCCTTTATCGAGACATACGAAAACTTTGATTTACCTAGTTTTTTCAACATTGTTTTCCACATGATTTTACACAGAGGCGAAGTTGCACTTCGCATATACAATCAAAAAAATATGACCGATAACGCTACTAGGAAAAATTGAATGAATAAAACTTTGAGTCTCTAAAATTTCTTAAGTGACGCACGCTAATTATGAGTCCACATAATTGCTAAATGACGCAAGCCAATTATGGCGCACTAGCAGTACCTGTATATTTGAAAAAAAAAACGAATTTACCAACTAACATGACTCAATTTATAGAGCGGGCGCATTTTAGCTAGTATACGAAACAGTTCATTAAAAACATCCGACCCTGCCCAGGTTCAAATTTTCTTATTTTGTTGCGGGTCCACTTCCCAACCTGTACGCTACAAATCCATAATACCTTGAAGCTGAAGTGCTTTTTAAGTACTAAAGTAATACAATAGGCTTTGTTAATATCCTTAGCAATGGCTGTACTTAATAGCTGTTTATTGATCAAAATGAACACTTTCAAAATGAACACTAATGTTTGCGACTTATGTTAAAAAAAAAGAGTTAATACTATCACACAAACTTTGCTTGTGTAATAATTATTGTGTTGCATCGCAAGTCGTGCGAGCCTCCGCTTCGACTGTGTAATATTTAAAGATTGTCTGCTTAGTTGCCAATTCGCAGATTTTTCTTGTACTGTAAGCAACTTAAAACTTGAAACATTTATATTAAAAAAAAATCGGCTGATCTTGTGTCTGATAAAAGATTGTCGGCGTTGTTTCTTCAGAATAATTGTTCCGTTGCTAGTTTAATATTCAATTATTTGGCATGTTTGCCTACAATGAACTTCTATCGTCCCTCTACTTTTGGTAGTCCTAGTTTTGTTTCAACAATTTTTTTTTTCGTCTCCGTTGTATCGCAAAAGGTGCCAAGCTCAGCTGCGCCTCTGTGTCATAAATGTTGCGCCTCTAATCGATATTTTGAAATTACAACATTGTTGAAGGCATTTTTAAGTATAATTTACGCATTTCAATGTCTGATGTAACTAATCGATGCCATTTCCAAGAGGTACATTGTTATGTATAACGCTTATTATGGACTGAATTGGCCTAACTTTTAAAAATACCGTTTTACAGAAAAAATTAGTTTTGGGGTGATTGAAAAGTTTACATTTCGGCCTGAAATCCCCCGGCTTCCAGTCCTGTCGGCCTGTTGTCCTAGACCCAATTTGACCTCGTAATACTAAAAGTCAATGACAAAGTCGTGAAAACATTATAAAAAAATAGCCAAATTACAGTTGGAAAGGAGTAATGAACGCAAGGAAACTGAAAAAAAAACTTTCAAAAGCCTTCAACAATTGAATTCCGGAGAAAAAAAGACGGCCTTAAAGCTCTTCGAATTTGTACAATAATTTATGATGGACACGTTTTTGTTAAAATTGACCCAATTTGAAAAAACTGGATCAGTACATGAAACATTTATTTCGCTGAGAAATCTGATAATTAATTTCCATTTTCGAAATCAGAAGTCGATCACGTTTTTCGTGGCCTTCACACTTTTGCTCTTCGAAACCCGAGTTTGCCTTCCTTTTAACTAAGAAATGCAATGAACTTAACAAGAAATTACAATTCAAACTGCGAAAAATCAAAATTGAGCACGAAAAATCTAGTGCTAAATGCGCATTGAACATCCGTCTTGTAGATTAGGTCTCTCATGTCCTTCCATCTGTCATTTATACCAGAAACGCTTAAAAATCGGCTATGGCCATTCACGAATAAAGCAGCAAACAGATGCTACGAAATTTCCGAAGTTACAGACCATTCTTATAGCACAAAGCCACCAAATGTGTCATTTTTCTGTGCGAGTTTAGTTGGAAAAAGTAGAGCTATAATATTACCCTAAGCTTGGTAGATCAGTACAGAAAACATAGCCAATCGAAGATTGGAAAAGAGTAATGAACGCAAGTAAACATGAATGACACTGAATTCGTTGAAAAATTCTCAACTTTTTAATTTCAAAGAAAAAAATAGATGATCTTTAAGCTCTTTGAATTCCCAGAACGATTTAAAACTGGCGCTTGTTTCATAAGATGAGCCCAACTAGAGAAAACTGAATCACTAGGTAACGTTTTTATTCCGCTGCGAAATCTTAAAAACAAATTCCACTTTCTAAACTGGAAATCGTTCACGTTTTTTTGCGTCATTTTCACGTTCGTATTTGTAGAGTGCTATTTACATCCCCTTCAGCAATGAATTTCATTTGAACTCAAAAAAGCATATATACCTAAGTGCATCAATATTTTAAGATTTTTTCCTGAAAAAAATCAACACCTATAAAAGAGTACTCACTACGTTCATTACTCTTAAAAATCGAAACTCACGTGGAAAACCAAACACTTTATCAAGTCTGAAAGTCTTAAGAATAATAACACAGAGGCGCAAACACTAGTGAAAACATGACAGAAAGCAGTTCTAGAAACTACATATGCTAATAAATTGCCAATGCGATTTAGCAAAATGGGCACCAAATACAAAGAGATACAATTTTGCAAGTAATAATTTGGATTATAACAAACTGAAGGCATCCACACTAACGTTGCATATACAAATCGCAAAGAATAAAACCACATCTTGTATAAATTATGCAGTTTAAAAAATTACGAGATATATTGAGTTAGAAAATTTCTGAAATCGAGTTTTTATTGAGTTATGTTGCTTGAAACAAATAGGTTTTTTTCGGTTCATTTGATGAAATAAAAATGCATCAACTGTGTTAACTTATTACTTTTTGAATGTCAAAGCACATGCTATCAAAAAGCTGTAACGGTGCCCAAAAGTGGCACCAATATTCGCGAATTAGGTTCGAAAAAAAAGAAGGTTCTTAATAATGCACTAAGCTGTGAAAATTTTCAACCAATCAAATTTAACTATTCGAAACTGAGTGATTTACCCGCTTATTTCTTTCACGTTTTTTAAATACTGAACTCTTATTGACGAACGTACATTTCGGCCATTCACTTCTTCTGTCATGAATGATCCTGTCAACCAAAACAAAATAAATGAAACTGTAAAAAAATATATATGCTTGAGGTAAATGTAAAGAAAGTGGCCAAGGAAAAGCTCTGCCAGTGTTCATACAGCAGCTTGAGCTGAGCGACCATAAAGATCTTATCTTTTTAGTATTAGCAGCTAGACAACTCGAACGGTGTAAAAAGCTGTTTTACATAATGGAGTATTGTGATCAGATGATTCGAATTAGGGCAGCAATTGCTTATTAAAGTTAACGTGTAAATGAAATCAGATTAACTTTATCAAGTAAACATTGAGTTGGTTGGCCGTTTAAAAAATATTAGGCAAACTAGAAACTTCGTAGAAGCCAACTATTCAGGATTTGATTCTGCAACCTACCATATGCTAATATAGATTCACAGTTGAAAATATATTCCCCTTTCTTCTTTACAGGGCTCATCTATTAAAAGAGGCATCAATATAACTTACACCTGTGATCAGTCAACTCCCGAACTGCCGTTCACGGTGGGACAAAACGAACTTGAAGTGGATACATACTACTATCCTTTCGCCGTAACAGGTAAAAGTTCTTTGAAAATTCGACTCCTTACCTAATGATGTTTCAAAACACACAAAAACTTCTGGATTCAAGATTTGAACTACTAACCTGAAAGGTTTCTGAGAAGGATTCGCAGATTCAAATTAACCTTCGTTCAGTAATGTTCATACTTATACAAAAATACTTAAATTTATATACATTAATATTTTGTTTCATTGGTATGGTATGCATACTTGCTTATTTTTTTTTGAGTTAGATTGCAATTGAAGTAGTCAAAATCTACTAGATACCTTGAAAAAAAAAAGATTCGCAAAGTAGCACTCCTTGCTTGTGCCACCAAAAACTACATCAGTTACCCACACTTATCAAAATGGAAGAAAAACAGACTCTGGGACCAAGAGGCCATTACATTCCCCAGTTAAAATATCTCTGTACTTTCTTAATTACTCAGACAAAATAAAATCGGAATAATATGCTTTTTCTCATAATCGATCTAATTCAGCTCGATTTGCCTGGTTAAAAATACACAATAACCATCAAATCATTTTTTGAATGAATTATATATCAATATTAAGACCAACAATGGTAAATAGACCAACAACAATGGTAAATAATCGAATATAGTATAAGTATAGACAGACACAAAAAAAAACAAGCATAACCAACATTCAGGTCAAAAATTGTTAATGAACTGAAGGAGCAAAAAAAGCTAACACTTTTTCAATCATCGTTAGACTTCGAAGAAAACAAATAAGAAATAATAGCTCAGAGAAACTATTATGATTGAAACTGTTTTGAAAAAAACTAAACGAAATTGAGAGCATAGCAAACAAGAAGTTTGAAAAAGTGTAAATGAACTAAAGAAGTCGAAAAAACTTATCATTTTAAACCTCTTTCCGTTTCAAAATCTTCTATGGTTGACAATTTTTTTTGATAAAACTGAAAAAATCTGTTTTAAACCAATGAAAAAATTAATATCCACTTTCAAAACGTACAGTCGATCACGTTTTTACGAGTCATTTTACACTTTTGTTTCTAGAGAGCGTAATTTCCTATAGTTCTAGCAAAAATGAATTTGAATAAAAAATTGAAAACTTCAAACTTAACACTGAAAACTCAAATTTGAGCGTCAACAGCATTTTTCCTGAAGAGAAAAAGAAAAATCCACTACTTAAATAAACTTCCGTGATAAGTAGGTGGTAATTTTGATTATATTGCATGTCTTAAATTTCAGAACTATAATGCATAACACAGTCATTTGATTTTCAATCATTGTCATTTCATTTTCAATAGTTTTTGTAAATACATTACTCAGCCAAATGAAATGTTATTAAAAAAAATCAATTTTTACACTTCTTTTGAAAAAAAATTGGCTTATGAAATAAATTATAAATAATGTGCGAAGTATAACAAAAACCGATCCAGCTATAGAAAATGAACCTACCACCTATTGTAATAGATCACCTAAACTTCTTCTAAAGTTTAAAACACAATAATAAATGTAGAACAAAAGTAAAGTTCGAAAAAACGCAAAGCTGTGATTCACAAAAAAACAATCAACCCAACGGTAAACGTTTTTTGGTGACGTTTACACTTTTGCTGTTCGTTAATGGAGTCTGTCTTTCTTGTAACAAAGGAAACGAAGTGGATTTTATAAGAAATCAAACGCCAAACCGCTAAAAATTAAAATTGAGCGTGAACAAATTTTAAGCCCATTTCCTTTAAAAAAACGAAATCATCAAGATCTATATAAAAGTATTCACTACGTTCATGAATCTTAAAAAGAAATGCAACACGTGCAATTAATTGCCTAAGCTAAAAGACCATGAAAGACCATACAAAAAAGTGGCACTAAATTCTTGGACTAAACTACGCTCATTGCGTTGGAAAACAGTGGACTGACAGATATACGCTAGCAAGCTCGATTATCGTAAAAAATTAAACTCGCAACGTGTTTCAAACCGCTGATCTCTCAACTGCTAGTCTTTCATAGCCAGCAGAAATAAACAATATTCAATATCATTTGAGCAGAATACAGATAAATTAAACACGGAAACATGCGACTTAGAATGGAAAAAACGGATCCCGTATTATGACACGTTTTCTTGTGTAACAATCCACTTCTGGAAGCCGAAGTAATAATCATTTTCTACTCCAATTGTAATTTTGATATTGGCGTACCTTGCATTCGATTTGTCAAATGAATTTGAAGGTAGACTTGACTTATAAGCAAATCAACAGTCAAACCACAAACAATATGAACATGAACAAAAATTAAAAATTTTTTCCTAAAGCATCCGCACGAACTAAAAAGTGAACACTCGTAAGAATAGGTAAGAGAAATTCAAACAACGCTAGAGGCTCATGTCTATTTATAACCTAGCAGCGTTAGCTTAAGTCATTCGTCAAACTAATCAAGCCCCTATTTAGGGCATAACTTTGAGTTCGAATTTCAAGAACACGTTTTCTCATAAGCTGAACCAAATTGACACGAACACGTTAGAGATTTCAAGTTATACTCGTTTTGATTGGATCATTTATATATAGAGGCTAGGCCGCACTTCTAAAATAAAAGCGATAAAAGAAACGCTCAAATGTAACTCTGAACAACATCAAAACTAACTAAAACGGCAAGAAAATAAAGAAACATAGCCAACTGACAGTTGGAAAAGAGTAATGAACTCAAGTTAAAAAAAAATGACTTTTTGGACAACCTTCAACTTATGATTGGTGCTTTTCTGATAAAATTAACCCAATTTGAGAAAACTGGATCAATAGGGAATGTTCTCAATTTGCTGGCAAACTACTTGCAATAGAACACACAGCATGAAAAAAATAGGAGACAGAAATTATGACGAAAACCGCTAAATAGAAAAAAAAAGTTTTTGAAAATGTCGAGAAAAGCTAGATCTGCCAAAATATACATTTCTGTCTAAATTTGTCCGGAAAAAATTTCATTGTTTAAGAAGCCGAACAAAACCAATGAAAAATAAAATTCCATCGAAACAAAACTTACGAGGCTGTAACAAAGCTAACAACTATTGAGCAGATACCCGAAAAGCCAAAAAAATGTTTTAAACTAAACAATATATTACCTCCTCAAAAGAGTTATACACAAAAGAAACTTGTTCCGCTCATCCAACGGAGCAATATGATGCCACAGAGCGGATTAATTATAAACCTGAATTTTTTAAGCCGACAAAAACAAACAAGGAAAAACAACACTAAAACTCGTCCAGAAACAATCGAAGGCTTTAAATGAAAATCAAAAAACACTTCGCTAGCGGCAACTTTGCTAAAAAATCTCCCGTAGGACCGTAGGCGAAAATTCCCGTAGAACAAAAAACATAATTTTTGACATAAAAACACTATAATTTCTATTCTAAAATTTTTCAAATTTTTTGTGCGATCCAAAGGGGAGCATAAAAATTATGTTTCCCTTGAAACGACTCACAATTAGACAACTAAGCCGATAAAATATAAGCCAAAATCACTTGGACAGAACACAAGTTTTAAGCGATGACAATGTACGAATTCAAGGTTAGTAAAAACACAAACCCTACAATTATATCAAAACACTAAAAAACAACTACATGTAAATTGCGCACAACAATAAAAAAAACAATTCTAAGAAGTGGCATCTAAGATGACAACAATCGGCCGACACTTTGAACCGGACCATTTCCTGTTTGTTTAAGTCAATTTGAAAAAAAAAGAAATTTACCAACTAACATGCCTCAATTTATAAAGCGGACGCATTTTAACTGGTATACGAAAAAGTTCATTAAAAACATCCGACCCGGTCCACGTTCGAAGCCTCTTATTTTGTTGCGGGTCTCCTTCACTACCTCTACGCTTCAGATCTATGATACCTTGAAGCTAAAGTGCTATTTGTAATATAATAGTGTGTTCTTTCAAAATGAACACATTTTGTCGCAACAATATTTGCGTCGTAATAATATTTGCGACTTAGGTTGGAAGAAAAAAGAATTCATACTATAACACAAGCTTTGCTTGTGTAAACAAAAGCTACCAACAAAGCAGCTTCATTTGCTATTAACGTGCCTATGTTACGCAGCAAACGTGCCACTAAATAAAAAATGAAACATTTCCAATGCTCTGAATTTGCATTTCCGACCTGTAGGTTAATAATATCACGTTCTCGCATCAGCACCAGAGTCGCTTGGACTTGGAAGTAAACCAACACTAGTCGTTATTAAAACTGAAATAGATCCTACTAAATTGCTTATGGTTGAAAATGCACCAAGCGGGTAAACAATTGAGCATTTTATTTGCGACTTCGGCTGGAAAAGTTGAATCGTAGTATTACACTCCGCCTAGCTTGTGTAAAAACATAATTCAAGTCTTTCAGTGAATTGTTGAAAACTAGCTTGCCTATTAATCTCAATCGCCAATCCCTTGCATATTAAGCTTTATAAGCTTGCCTATTAACATGCATATTAAGCGCAACCACCAGAACTGTTCAAAAAAGATTGTTAGATTAGAATATCTTTAAATTTGAGCACAAGGCGTCGATAATTTCAAAGTAGTATAAAAAAAATCCTTCAAAAAATTTATTTCAAATTAACTTGCACCAAACGTAGCACTAAAATGTGCAGCTTAACTTGGAAAACGTTGACCTGATCGTACCACAGTATGCTTGCAATCTGACTTGTTTAATCAGCACTACTTAACTGATACACTGTCTAAAACTTAAAAGTTTTTGTTTCGCACAACTTTCAGGCAATACTATGGCCTTGATAACCTGAAAAAGCTCAATTTATTAAGATCTACGGTTATGAGAATGTCAGTAGCAAAAACTGACACAACTTTAAAAACGCGAAAAAAAAACAATAATTTCTTTGAATATTTTGCTCGTTTTGTGGTACATTTTTACCTTGCGGAACGAATTTTTTGGGCTAATCAAACTGCAGGTGTCTATCTGTGTCTTTTTATGCAGCTCAATATTTTTCAGGATCTGGGGCGTGTCTCCAGGACATTGGAGGTGGAGGTGGAGGGCTGACTGGGGCAGGCATCTTCCTGATCATTTACTTCGTCTCCATAGCCATATACCTCATAGCCGGAATATGCTACAAGGTAGCACAAACACTTCTTATGCAATAAATAACTGGGTCAAACTCAATTGAGAAGGTCAAAAACTCAACCTCATATGATATCATTATATTCAGCCAAAAAGGCCACCATAGGATTTTATTAATGCTTTTTACTTGCAAATATTTGTTCTGAAAAAAAATTAAGAATGAAAAAAATATGATGTTAGATTATCGGCGCAAACCCTAGTAACACAAAAATATTATTTTGTTGGAGGGGGGGGGGGGGTTCATTTTACAAATGCTGCTGATCATACAAAAAAGACAAATGGCTACAAAAAAACTGCAAATCGATCAGCGAGGTTTATTTTTCTCTGTGCATTGGTGCACGTAAACCAGAGCTTTTTCATTTCCTCCGATCACCAACTAGACAGTCTAAAGACACAATTGAAATTGACCTTTGAGATAGTCTGTACAATACTTGAGGTTAATGTGACATCACTACATGACGTCATGCATTCTTATGCTATATTAGATTACATAATTAGCCTTGTTAATGAAATGAAGTTCATACATTTATATTTATTTAACTATGTAAATATTGATGGTAATTAATACCAACCAGAGGAGATATATACCGAGCTACTAATCAATTGGGTAGACTTGAAGAGAATAAAATATTAGAATCATGCTCTAACTTGCGCCGATCGACTAGCGATATTCCAGAAGTAGAATCATCCCACTCCTATCACCATGTGATATAGTGTCCCTTCGGATGGCTGTGGACAGCTATATCGTCGTTTAATGATAATGTTGTAAGCTGTTCGAATATTAATTAGCGCTACTGGCTATCGATTGTTATTGATTGTTTCCATAATTTATATGTCTCGAGCGGTTAAGACTTATCTTGCTTTTAAGGACGCAGGATTCGGTTCTTAACTTCTGGAATATCGCTAGTCGATCGGCGCAAGTTAGAGCATGATTCTAATATTTTATTCTCTTCAAGTCTACCCAATTGATTAGTAGCTCGGTATATATCTCCTCTGGTTGGTATTAATTTGTTTGTATCTTGTGTAGGCGTTGTACAAGGGAGCTAGAGGGATGGAGATGATTCCGAACACTGAATTCTGGATGATGGTGCCAGGTCTGATCAGAGACGGGTGTCTCTTCATCTACAGATGGATCGCCGGCAAAACATACAAAAAGAGCTTCGATGCAGTGTGAGTGTCAGCGGACATTTTAAAGCCAGCAACATTTTACAACAACCAAACCTTAGTCACGAAATCGGACTAACTCTAATTCTATTTAATACATCCAACTTTAATAAACCTGAATATTTTTGAAAATTTGAGTTATTATTATTTTATGAATTTACAGTACTTGATAACTAGGGCGCGGAAATAACTAGTTGTTTACTTTTTCGGTTCATAATGAAAGTCAAAAAAGTAGGCACCAAACAGAATTTAGCCTGAATTTGCCCTGAAAAACATCAAAAACGTTCGCAGAACCCCAAACTGGATTTTGTGATGAAAATTCATGCCAAACTCCTTCGTACAAAAGTAACATCATGTGGAATCGAAAGGTTTTTTAGTATTCTGAAGCAAAACTAGATAACTGTCCGACAAATCTGAGTGAAAACGTACAAAACTGTGAAAACGTACAAAATTTATGCGTTTATAAAATGAAAATCGAAGCTTTCTGCACTTACTTTTATTTGTTATTCATAAGCCACCAGAGAATTTAAAAGAGTACTTTTTACGACCTAAGTTTTTCCCAACATGATCCATGCCATTAAAAGACAATGAGGTAACTAATGAGATTTTCCTTACTTTTTGGCGGCGTAAACCTTGGCGTCCCTGCATAAGATAGTGATTCTGTAGTTTATGTCGTGTTCGCCAGCTGCGTCTAAGCTCACGGGCACAGCAGGCACAGAAAACTGAAATGGGCAACTTCTGATTTGCGCGTAGACTCAAATTTGTAAATAAACATGACTAGCTCTGACTGTAAAAAAAAAACTGTCTCTAAAAATTTTCTCATAGCTTTTTGGGCTCTTTTCACTCTCCCTTTTTCAAAATTTTCTTAATTTTGCAACTGTTTTGGGTTATTATGACTAAAAGTTTTTAGAAAAGTTGCTTCGTACCTTGGTGAGTACTTTAAACGCCTCTGTGTCTAGTATGATGAGTTGCTGGCTCTCAGTGCCCAAAACAATGCAACTGATCGCATCATCCTCCGTCTGGTTCTTCTTCATCGAAGTCACACACGTGACCACATTCTACAAACAGAGTAAACAAAAAATAAAACAAAGCAAGGATAGCCAATTGCTGTGCAGATGGCACAGATTTCTCCGACCACGGTAATTTAAGTCAAGTAAAAACAACGATCATTTTTCCACTGTTTCTCTAGGCGGTGTTATGCGTGTGTGTAATGACATAATAATCAGGCATATTTATTAAATAACAGCTACAAAAAAGTTATCATTAGAAGCGAAAGATAGTAGCGTTATATAGGAAAGTCGTTTCTCTCACTAATTCCTGAGAGCAAGTTAGTCTGAAAAAATTGAAAATTCAGGCCAATTTTTCTCGACACTAGGAAAAAATTTTAAAAGTTTTAATTTAAATCCGCATCACGAATACGATGGCTTTCATATGATGACAACACAGTATTATCCCTATTAACTTTCCTTGAGGTAAAAAATGAAATGAAAAAACAAAACCAAACTACGCCATAATTCCTTCGCCATGGTCAGAACAATAAGAATTACCGGATGCAAAGAAAGCTACACCGAGATGAGATAAAACTGGAAAAAAAAATCGTTTTTTTTTCGAAGTTTTTAATACTTGTTCGTGTGACCCAAAAAAAAACAAAAACGTGTGCGCAAATAATTTTTTTTTGCAAAAGTGAGTAGGCTTTTTAGAAAAAAAATATGAAGTCGCCGATTTAGATTTTTTTCAAAGCTGCACTGAAAGTTTAAGCTGACCATAATTGGCTTGAGCTTATCGCAAAACAGGCATTTGAGCCGAAACGCTGTTTTCGAGCACTTATAACGAAATAATCGCCAAAAAATTGCGTTTTTTAAATTTTGTAACGCTCCTAAAAAACTTGATTTGTTATGAAACCAGGTAAAAGCATTCAAATTCTACTTCAGTTGAAACTGGATTTTGTATAACTTAGAGCAATTTTTCGATGCTAATCTCTTTTCCGAATTCAAATCACGATTAAAATTTACTTGACCGCAAATCTTAAAACGAACAAAAACACCCTACGCCAGAATTTTCACCCAAAGTTTCGAGAGCAGTCTTAACAACATCTGGTTGCTATATGTATAACCCCGCAAAATACCAACAGTAAATTTTTTGTCCGTTTGTAGCGATGGGGAGATATAGGCTTAGTGACAGTAGGCTTAGAATAGGTATTTACGATTTTATTCCGCTACCTTTCTCTTTGCTAACATAACCAACAGACAGTTTGAAAAAGAGTTACGGAACGCAAGTAAACAAAAAAAGCTAAATTGTTTTTGGAAAGAAAAATGCAACTTTTAAATTTAAAGAAAAGTTTTGAGTTTCAAAGAATTTCAAGGTAATTTTTTTATTTCGCTGGAAAACCTGAAAATTAGCAGTCAATCACGTTTTTCGGGACCTGTACAGTTTTGTTGTTCAATAGCGGAGTTTGACTTCCTTTTAGAAGAAATGAGCTGAACTTAAAAATAAATCAGGAATCAAACCACGAAAAATCAAAATTAAACATGAATAATTTTTAAAACTGTTTGAAACAAAAAACAAGGCAAAATCCTAACGACGTATATAAGAGTCTTCATTGCGTTCATCGACTCTTAACAACAAAGAAAACAGACTTTTTCAGATTTAATATAAGAGCTTTACAAAAAAAATACAATTTTTCGGTCAGAAAAATTCAAATTAGAAGGAAAATTTTTTTGCTCAACAAGCTTGCCGCAGTTCGATTCGGATTCAGAATTTCATTCCTTTGATTTTTAAATTTATTCGCCCGCTAAGTATAATAGTTGGGTGCAAAAAATTGCACAATTTAATCCACCTAGCTGACAAATTTCCAACAGTTCACGAAAAATGATCACAGGTTAATTTTTTTACATTTGAAAGCAGAGCGTCGATATCTTCAAAAAGATATGAAAATATCCCTTAAAAATTAATATTTGTAAAAATACATGACATATTTATTAATCGACGACTTCTGACAAGTATTTGTGGAAACTGAACTACCATGAAACAAAAACGCCCAAATTCAAAACTCGTGGGCGATACAGTGGTCGGAACAATAAATCGATGAAAACAGTGTAAATAATGTAATCCATGAAAAGTATGACACGCAATGAGATGAATATACAACAAATTATACTACGCACTTGTCTGGTGAGAGGAGAAACCTTGTGCAGGTTGACGAAGTTGTTCATCACTTCCGGATTAGTCATCATGATCAGTCTGAACAAACAAACACCAATCAACCATTTATGAGAAACTTAGACTTTATAAGACTTATAAATAAGACTTTATGTGGAGGTCGAAAAAAAAACTATAAATAAGGTTTGAAAAATGTCCAGAAATTCAGTTTTTAAATGTATTTCAGTAATTTTTTATCCACTAGTACTCGTTTCTGATTGAATTTGATGAAATAGCAGAAAAAGACATACTTCTGTGATTTGGTGGACAGAGGGATGTCTGAGTTCTGGGGATCCAGTCGCAGTGCTTCTAGTCTGTCTCGCAACATGGAAGGCGTAATCTGTCCCTAAACCACACTCTCAATTCAAGCTCATCATTAAAAAATATTTAACGTATATTTTGCGCCCATTACACGATTATAACAAAATTGTTTTCGAGAGTGGAAGCAACTCTCAACTCAAACCCATTCCAAACATTTACTCTTTCAAAATTATCAAGACTATTGATATTTAAACTTCATTAATTCAAAATCAAAATCTCACAGAATAGAACACTAATACATTTCACTTACTTTTCTAAATCGAGAACACTATTTCGAAAAGAAAAAGAAGGTCTATTAAACATTCAATCATAGATACATACACACAAGCCAACGTACCTTTTCAGCCATCTCCTATAGCAAAAGACTTTTCAATTTATACGGATAACGTTCATTACAAATTTCTTTTCCACATCATCAGAACTGAAAAATAATTCTGATCTTGTTAACTACCGCCAATTGCAAAAAAGGGGTAATTAGTTTCAAAGTGCAAAATTAGTGGCTAGCAGACAATTGAAAAAAAGCCTGCCAATTAAGTCACTGAAACAGAAAAATGATTGAACTGTTCCTGTGAACTTTTTTTCAACTTTTGATTTCCGCGTTCATTACGAAATGTGTTTTGCACGTCTAATAAATTAAAAATCCAGGTGCGGGGCTGAAGAAATTATACAGTTGATCCAATAACACAATCCATGGAAACGATGATACGCAATGAAATGAAGTGCAACAAATTTTCATTTTCAAAGGAAAAAGTCTTTCACCTTCAAATTTTAAATTATAATTATCTTTTATGATCAAATTATTTCTGATCAAATTAACCCAATTTAAGAAAATAAGTTACATTTGTATACCACTGGGAAATCAAGAAATTAAAGTTCAATTTTGAACGAGATGTCAATCAGGTTTCTTCGCGCAATTTTTATTTTGCGCCAATTTCGGTAATTTAAAAAGTTGCCTACCATTTAACGAACGAATTTGAAGGGAGCTTGAAAAACCTTGAAGTCAAACTCCGAAAAAAAATATTTGAGCGAGGACAACTAGTGCTGATATAAATTATCTGGACAAAACAAAAAAAAATTTAAACGCTTCTTTTCAAATTGGGTTGACAGAAATTGACACAAAAATGAGGACAAAAATTTCTCAAAAATTTCGCAGAATTAATACGAAGCAATTTATTTTACAAAATTCGAGCCCCAAATGTAAAACCCAAAAACGGGTCACTTATGCTTTTTAGTTCATGAAAAATTACACCACAAAAGCTGGGTCAATCAATTGCTGACACAACTATATCAAAGGGAGCCTATTATGAAGCCCAACAATATTGGGTATAATCTCCCAAATTTGAAGGGTATAATCTCCAAGGCTATGATCTGCAAAAACTTCTGCAAGCGTTTAAAAATTGTATTCCTAAGAAATTTAAATAAAAAACGACAATTTTTGGCTATCAAATGAAAAAACCTTCATCATCTTCTAAATCGACATAATCAATTAAAATTTCGATTGCTACAAAAAGCCATAAATGACCCTGTTTCTGGGTAAAACTTTGGGCCCGAACTTTGCAAAATATATTGCACCATATGAAATTGTAAGCAGCTTTAGTCTTTATCACTTTTTGCGTAGTGTCAACGCTTTTTTTTGATAAAAATCAAGTTTTAATGCGTTTTGTCCGGATCATTTACACAGAGGCGAAGTTTCGGATCGCAAACACCAGCGAGAAAGCGACAAAAAGCAGGCCTATAAAGCCCAATTTAAAAAAAAACAGAATTATGCCTCGAGCTTGATCTGTAACCAAGAGATTATGAGCGTCTCACGCAATCACCACTCAGCCACGGACTCTTATTCAATCACAAACACTAGCCACAAAAGGAGCATTGTGATTATAGCAAAAACGCCACCAAATAAATAAAAACTTTTAAAGAACACTTTTATTTGCGAGTTAGCTTGGAAAAAATAATGTTCGTACTAATACACTTCGCTCGCAACCTCGCTAGTGTAAAACCATACCCTACAAACAGTTGGAAGAGTCAATAAATGCAACGAAACAAAAAAAAACCGACTCGTTGAAAAAACTTCATTTTCGACTCTCAAAGTAATTATATCCTCAACTGTCTTTGAATTTCAAGGCGAATTCATGATTGACACTTTTTTGAGGAAATTAACTCAACTTGAGAAAACTGGATCAATCGGTAAAATTTTTTATTCCGCTGGGAAATCCAAAAATTAAATTCTACTTTCGAAACGAAGTCAATCACGTTTTTTGCGACCTTTAAACTTTCGATAGTAGTTTACCTTCCTTTTAACAAAGGAAATGAACCGAACTTAAAAATTAGAAGTCAAACCGCGAAAAGTAAATTTGTGCCTGAACAAATTTTTGAAAAATAAACATAAAAAATGTCTTTTAAAGTGTATAGGGTGTATAAAATAGTTGAATCATTGTTATAAACATTGCTGCCGGTAGATCGATAGACACAGTATTTGTGGAGTGCCTTACATCTCTGGTGAGATTCCAGTACTGCTGCTCCACTTCTGACACAGGCAGTCCCTCTAGAGTGTACTTGTAGAAGGGCCTCATGTTCTTGTACACATACACACTCTGGCCAGACGCCACCACTATCGCTACACACACAAATACATCACTACTAATCGCATTCGATATTTATGAAGGAACTGCTCAAGTTGGGAACTGTTGTCATAAAGTTTTAATGCTGGCACTCGAATACAAATCTTTTCCCACAGATATGGAAATAATTGGCATCAAATTTGAAAAACACAAACCCAAAATCATCAAATTCAACAAAAAACAGACCATTGAGCTTTGCTAGGGTAAGACTCCGATTGTAAAAAAAACTCATGACGACATCTTTTTCGTAGACAATCCTGAACTTCTTCCAGGTTCAAAAAAAAAAGAAACAAAAATCTACGATAACCGTTCAAGGCAAAGATCTTGTTTCAAAAAACCTTCTGACCAATGATTAAAATATTCACGAACCGGCTAAACTTTTTCAACTCTTTGGACATAAAAAACATTTTAGTGTACCAACCGGGCGTCTTTGGTATGTTATTATCAATATAGAGTGCGCATATTCCAGTGGGGAAATCCAGTATCTGGTTCTCCATCTTGAGAGTGGTGCCCTGGTAGACCTTCAGTTTCACACTGGTCGGATTGGCCAGAGAAGACAGTTGGGCAGCGTCCATCTTGCCAAAGTCAGCCAGCACCAGCTACAACAACCAAAAAAAACTTCATTTATTGATGGAATGCAATTCGGCAAACTAAAAGCGTATAACCGTTGCGATGAAAGTAGCGTAGAATGTTCTGACCGAAATATTAGTTCATTTATTCTGTTGTTCTTTTGAGTCAGAAGTTAGGAGACAATGATTGGAATAAAAATATACTTAAAAACAATATTAAAATCGGAATGTGGTGATCAGGTTTAACTATCTTTTTAGAATCCGAATCACGAATGAAAACGCTTCGTATGATACAACAATTGACCCCTCTAAGCGGTCTTAAGAAGCCTAAAATTGAGCAAAAAAACGTCTCACGCCATGGTTGCTTCCCACATCATGAAGTGGTCGCAACAAAAACGAGGTAAATATTAGCTGTGTCATGGGAAAAGCGAACTGTTGACGCTGCAAAAAAAACATGAGTGACGGATTCAGTCTCTCGGAGCGGTGTACAAGTTGCCTGAGAATTTATCTAGCGTTACTCAAGACAATGGATCCTCCTATTAAATTTCAGTTGTGAACAAACTACCTAAGCTCAATCCTTTCGAAAACTTTTTTTTGCATTGAGATGAACTGTTTTAAACAATTCTTGGTTACTCGCATCGCAGCATGGGTACCCTCATCATGGTTGGTATTACCTTGTGGTCTCCATCTCTGGTGAGGTCCGCTAGGGTGATGCAGGAGGAGAATGTGTGCAGTTGGGCCACTGGGTCATGGAATGCAGTCAGAAACTTACTCTTCGTCTCGTCTCTTCAAACAAACGCCATAGCAAAATAATAAAGTGGAAGCAAAAATAACAAAACAGCTCTTATTTATTTGATTTTATGGATGTCAAGATCTTTCCTCCTTTCACAATGTGAGGGGTGGACATTCGTTAGAAGATATCTTGAGCAACCGACAACTGATGCAGAGATCCGACTTAACACAAGGACTCATGTACGCCATGTAGATGTATATTGATCACTAATCCGATTTATCTTCTTAATGAGGTACACCAATGACAAAAGTGCAGCTCCATGATTTTTTCTGTAGGATGTAAATAATTTACGCCGTGTTTTGTGTTCTCTTGTCGAATTTATATTGAAAATTCAAATCAGCTCCCAAACCTGTTCCCAGTTCACTTGGATGAAAATTCTACTATATTAAATTTAGAAGTTAGTTTCTTGATCCTTCCAACTATCGTCAATTTAAACTTCAGAAACAGCTTCGACCACAATTCCAACTAAGGAATTTGGACTAGGAAATCACAATTACAACTGTGAAATCATACGCTAACTATCTCATCATAAGCACATTTGTTGATTAATACATCAACTTATGAAGCCGTTCGTTCATTATTAATTTGATTTACATGTCGGATCAAGGGACAAAAAAACTTAAACCAACTTCAAAAGAAAATTTTTAAAACTAAAAACAATCATTCAAGGAGATCATTCAATGCGTTCTGACCCAACTTGATATGATTTGTAAACTGTCAGATCTATGTACGTCAACAATTACTTGATCTTCTGCTCTCTTTCAGACAGCACTTTGGCACTGTCCATCACCGCCTGCTGCTGCTGCTGATTTCCAATTGAGCTACTAACATCTGCCATTATTCGAGTAATCGATTTCAAAAATATTTAATAAGCTTTCCGAGTCGATTAGTTATTAAAGATCCTTTCTCATTCCGTTAAGCATTACATTGCCCCTGAAAATACCATATTATGACAGTTCATCTCGGAAAAACTGGCATACCGTTCAAGTCGATCTGGAGATGTTGCACGGGTAACACAATTTTTCTGTTACTGGCAAGTAGAGAAAAGTCAAAAATTGAATAAAGAAATCTTTAAAAAATCGTTTTCAAAAAACTTGCTTTGCTTTTTTTAAAAAAGTGAAATAAATGCAAAAAGAACGAAACATTCCTGGAACAAAATTAACTGCATCCAGGGGCGGATCTAGGATTTTCTCGAGGGGAGGCGGATAATTCGAAAATTTTGACGACTTTTTTTTAAGTCGACCAAATTGATTTTTTGAGCTCTCCCAAAGCACTGTTTTGCCCCTATTTTTGCAAAATTTTGTGCGCCGCAGGCAAATTTTTGAAAAAACAAGCAAAAAAAGTCGTTTTTGGGCACTTTTTGAAAAATTTTGACAAAAAAATCGCATTTTTTTTGGCGCGCAATCCCCCTTAAATTTTAGAAAAATTTTAGGGTCGGTCGGCCAAAAATGGATTTCTGAAAAAGTATCAAAGGGAGGACCCTTTGGTCGGCAGGGGGTCGAATCCCCGAGGGGGGGGGGCGTCCGCCCCCCCCCCCCCCTCCCCCTAAATCCGCCCCTGACTGCATCATTAGAAACTTTTAAGAGACCTTTCAAAATGCTAAAAAGAAACGGAACCTTTCTGCGGGACCTAAGCCGACAAAAAAACAGACAAACAGAAGTCCGACAAAGACTTTCGACGCGAGGACAATTTTCCGCAGACAAAAAAAAACAGGTCCTGACCGGATTCGAATCAGACACTTGTCTTTATAGGCAGGTGCGTTAGCTCTTCGCCATACGCGAGAATTAAGTTCTGACTTTTGATTTCATATGAACCAACGTGCTATGAACCTAAAATGATTCAGGTGATTCAGTTAAGCTAGTTGTTAGCCCAAAAAAAAACTATATTCCAGTTTGATAACGGTTGCTAATCTAGTAGATAAACATGGATAAATTAGTCTAAATGTAAAAAAAGACAGCATTTGTCTCGACCTACATCTTTGAAACGACATTGGGATAACGACTGAAAAGGCTTCCACAGAATACTAACTTGTACCCTACTACAATTGAGGTAGTCTTTTGCACACACTATACGATATACATCAAATCAAACAAAAAATCCTTATACTATCTTATGTTGTTCAATTTGATTGGCTGAGATAGAGACTTCAAAGTTACAGTGAAACTCAGCTAAATTATATGGAACACAGTGGAACAAGTTATTTTTCTTCTCAAATATGTGAGGTGAGTGAAAACTTTGGAGACTTAGGAATTTTGTCCACGGCATAACATTATACAAAAATAAATGGCCTGATAAAATGGAGAAGATCCCCATAACCGAGTTTTTCGATTGTAAACTTAATCTGAAAATTGGCACGGTAGTTTTCGAGTAAAGTCAAACAGTTCCCAAAAAACGGTCCAAGTTTCAACACTTTTACTTGTTTGAACGCGATATATTTTTTCTAAAAACAAATAGGTGTAAAAAATAGAATGGTAGGCTTTAAACAACTGGCTGCTTCCAGTAAACCATTGAAATCAGATTTGACAACATAGTTACCGAGAAAGGTCCAAAAAACGGCCAAAAAATCAAAAAGAATCATAGTTTTTGAATGCAAAATATTGGGCGTTGCCACTTATGCAGAAGAGATTTACGAAACCTATAACTTCAATAGAACCAACAATCTTAGCTTTGAGAGGATAGTTCTCGACAAAAGTCAGGAAGTATCAAAAACGGTCAAAAAATCAAAAACTTGACTATTCCGAGGGCCATTAGTTTATGTGTTAAAAATAAATTTGGGAAGGTGGTTTTGAAAAAAATGGCATTTGGGAAGGTAGTTTAAAAAAATGATTTAAAAAATCAGAATATGGATCAAATATTCACTCCACCGACTTTTTCGAAGCCTGTAGAGAGTCGGGTAAAGTAAAAGAGATTAGATGAGTATATCGACACACGGTAGAGTCGGCGGTCTTTCTACCGTGAATGGACACCAAATACAAATAGACACAATTTGCAAGGAATAATTAGAATATAACAAGCTGAAGGCATCTACGCTAACTTTGCATAAAAATTGGAGAGCAGTAAGCCAAATTATTTATAAATTATGCATTTCGAAAAATTGCTAGATATACTGAGTTCGAAAATTTCTGAAATCTAGTTTTGATTTTTGTCATTTTGTTTGAAACGAAAAGCTTTTTTTTTCGGTTCATTCAATGAAATAAAAATGCATCAACTGTGTCAACTTATTATTATTCGAATTTCAAAGTACATTCTCTCAAAAATCCGTACAGGTGCCACTGAATGTGACACCAATATTCGCGACTTAGTTTAGAAACAAAAGGAATAGTTTACTATTAGACAAATTCGTAGTGTAATTAGCAACGGAACAAAACTTACGAAGCGGAAACAAAGCCTACAATCTTTCAGCAGACACCAGTGGAGCGAAATAAAAAATTATTTAAAAAAAAACTTTTAAAAGTTTCAACTCCCTCCTGAAATTTCAATGAAAAACGTCTGAAAATATCAAGTTATTGCTTACAGCACAAAAAACATCCTTGATGTGACAACTAAGCCGTCAAAAGTTGAGCAGATAAACTTCAGACCTACAAATCAATTTCAACCGAAAAAAAATTCAATGCATACATGCTGTAAAAAAAGATCCGACCGAGATTTGACCCGCAAACCTGAGGCTTCAAAAGCAATGGCGTTACCTGTATGCCAAGTGCAACTGAATCTGGAAGTTGTCAGAAGGTTGATAACCTTTTTCCTAAATTTTCTTATCAGAAATCAAACGTTCTCATATACTAACAAGACTGCTCGTATCAGGGCGAAGCCCTGAATGTTCTGACTGCCTTTTAAGGTTTATGGAGCAATTAAATGTAATAAAACAAAATCAAACATTTTTTTTCTCTAAAATTTGAATTTTTTAATGAACATTATCCCCCCACACGCCATATAAAGTACAAAAAGATAGCTCCTTGTAACAAATCAATTATGGCTAATAAGCTTCTTTCAACCAATTTAGAACGATTTCTAAGACGGATTAAATCTCCGCTTACGCGTTAATAGCGCGAATTATATTGCGCGTCAATTGTCCCAAATTGGTCAAAATGGCAATCTTTAAACCTTCATAACTTTACGAAAAATGATCACAGAAGAAATATCTTTTCAAATTTAAGCTCAGGACAACAATACTTTTTGAATGATATAAAAAAATTCCGTCAAAAATGGCTAGTTAAAAAGTCGAAATTTGTCTGAAGAAAAAAAACCCACCCCGAGCACAAATATTCCGTTACTTTCGTATCGAAAGTCGGAACAATAATAGCTACCACTTTCCAAAAATGAGTAGGCTTTGCTTCGATTTTAAACTAAATCATTGCAGTGTATATCTTTCTCAAGAATATTTATTGGATTGTTAATGCTGCTTACTAGTATGCTTCTCACCCGTATTTGTTCTTACGAAGCTTGAAAACGTAGGAAGTCGAAAACTACATCCAAAAAAATTTATTAAATAGCTCAAATATTAAGAGAATCAAGACACAATTTATTTAAACTACATAAGAGACAGACAAAAGATGATCGACAAACGATTTGTGAGATATAAGTTTAAAAATATTATATGAGTGTTTGTATACGGGATAGAACATAATCAACCAGAAGTTGATCGCAAACAAGAAATTTGTTGTGCAAAGATTTCGATTTTTGGAAGTACGAGAGGAGTTTTTTTATAAGAAATTTTTTATAAAAGAAAACGCACACGAATGTACATATTTACAGATAGAAAAGGCAGCACGCATTAAATAGAATATCAAAATCAAGCATTATTTAGTTTTCTTCGATTCCTCTGATTTTTGGTTTTCGTCTATAGCGACCTTCACTTTCTTCACAGTCGGTGCAAAGACTCTCCTACCCGACTTAATGAAAAACCTCAAGAACATCAAAAAGGTCACTATTATAAAACCGAGTTCAATTTTGTGATTGACGGGGTCAATTGCTCGTTTTTTAAACGAAGACGAAGGCAGCTCCGTGAGTTCAAAAACCAAATCTTTCAGTGCTTTGATCTTTGACGTCTGGTGCTTTCTAACATCGCTGATTTGCTTTCCGAATTCATCTTTGCGTTCAAAAGCAGTCTTTAAGGCGCTTTTTAGGCCGTTTGTTGTAGTGAAAAACGGCCATAGGGTGATTCCGACTCGGCTTTTTTCGATCGATCGAGCCAACGCACTTTCTCTCCAATAAACATCAAAACAAACCAGAATTCTCTGGTAATACATAGCGATTAGCAAATTGTCTAAAGAACAAGTACCAACGATAACCATGACGGCTTTTTCGGTCATTATCGAATGAATTGTCATAGGTGTGATCAAGATTTGCTTATTGGTCGGTATCTCAGGCAGAGAACCGTTGGTCCAAATAGTTTTGAAATCGGGCTCTTGGGTGAAAGCGTCGTGAAAGTATTCCCAGCCTAGTTTATGAATCAGAACTTCTTCGCCCGTAAAGTAAGCAAAATTCTCAACTCCACTATCTCCAGAAGACTCACTAACTGACGCTTTCATAAAATTCTCGAGTCGGTTGCTTTTTGGTTTTCCCTTTTCGATCAAATCTGTTTGTCCAAGTGGCAGAAAATGTTTTGTTTTCTTATTGTATTCCAAAAAAGGCGGCAAAAACGAACCAATTCTTGGGTACGAGGACCATAAATGGAGTAAATTTGCGTGTGAAATATTGGTCTTCAGATCCATATTGCATTTGTTCCCAATGGAAACAGCCATTCTTACATCCGGTAGGTTCTTGAACATAACAACTATCAGCTCGTGAATAAAGACTTTCAGAAAGTCAGGAGCGAAGCTGTAGAACACGTTCGGAATAAACGAATACTCCACTCTAACCTAAAAGAAAAATAACTATTTTTAATTTTGAACAACATAAATTGTTAGCTTCATTCGCTCAACATACTAATTCAGTATGTCACTTAGACTTATAGCTATTGAATATGGTTCAAACTCGACTAACGATTTTGGAAATGATTGAATGATTATTATTTGAATCTAAGAAACATTTATAATTTGATACTTGAAGCTGGAATCGCAAACTGCTGTTATACCTGATTCGCAGTTGCCTGTGGAAAGCCAGAATTGTGCATCAGAATCACCGGAATATCATGCGTCTCCGCTACTGCCGCTGCACATGTACTATACGAGTCGGCGATAACAAGCTGGACGCTCTCTCGTTCTAACAGTCGTTGAAGTGTCTCGGCAGAGCGAACTACTTCGTCCATTCGGTTTTGAACTTCGTTGCTGTGTCGGGTTAGTAGTCCGACTCCAGTCGTTTGCAGTGATTCGTTTAGCCACGACTCGGTTGAAAAGACCTCGACGTTTGGGATCTTGACTGTCTCGGCACATTTCTCATCAGTCACGAAGAAATAGTTGTTCACATCTTTGTTGGCGAGGTTATAAGCCACCGATTTGCTAAACAGATGGACCATGTTGCTTCAAAGTATTCTAGTACATTCACTTTTTGCACAAAAATTACCCCATTATTTTAACCGCCTAATTTTTCACTTCTAGGTGCCCCAAGAGAGCCATTCTTGATTTAATTGAAATGTCTTGTATCTAAGGTAAATAAAAATAAATACATTATTAAGAACCTTTATTACACTCCATCAATATCAATAAGTTGCGATTCTGAAGTGCTTAAACATTGTCGGAGAATGTGCTCAGATATGACAAATATGGGCGATCTGCTGGAATCTCTCTCCCCTTTCAAAAGAGGTGAAAAATGTCTTGTTAGTTACATGATCAGAATGCAGAAAAAATATACACCCGGTTAAAGCTCTTTGATTTCAAAGAACAATTTATGATTGACAGTTTTTTGACAACATTACTCCAAATAAAGAAAACTGGATCAATGGGAAGTTTTTTTATTCCGCTGGGAAATCTAAAAATTTAAATCCACTTTCAAAACTAGAAGTCGATCACGTTTTTCGCGATCTGTACACTTGTGCTGTTCGATAGAGGAGTTTGCCTTCCTTTTAAAAAGGAAATGAACCCAACTTAAAACATAGGCGCTACGCGCAATACACCGAAGGCATAGAAACTGAAGCAAAAACCAAACAACTTGAACAACTAATAATTGAAGAATAACAGTTCTAGAACAAAAAATCGTACTAATACATGTATACACCAAAATTTTGCTATATCGAGAAAGAGCCTAAAATAACAGTTCTAGAACTAAAAATCGTACTAACACATGTATGGGTTAAATTTTTGATATATCAACGAAGATCATAAAATAACACTTCTAGAACTAAAAATCGTACTAACACATGTATACACCAAAATTTTACTATATTGACAAAGGGCCTGAAATAACAGTTCGTGAGCTTAAAATCGTACGAACACATGTATACACCAAAATTTTGCTATATTGGCAAAGATCATGAAATAACAGTTCGAGAGCTAAAAATCGTACTAACACATGTATACGTCAAATTTTTGCTATATTGACAAAGATCATGGAATAACAGTTCTAGAGCTAAAAATCGTACTAACACATGTATACACCAAAATTTTGCTATATTGACAAAGATCATGGAATAACAGTTCGAGAACTAAAAATGGTACTAACACATGTATACAATAAAATTTTGATATATTGACAAAGATCATGAAATAACAGTTCGAGAACTAAAAATCGTAATAACACATGTATACACTAAAATTTTGATATATTGACATAGATCATAAAATAACAGTTCGAGAACTAAAAATGGTACTAACACATGTATACGCTAAAATATTGCTATATTGACGAAGAGCCTGAAATAACAATTCTAGAGCTAAAATCGTACTAACACATGTATACACCAATATTTTGCTATATCGACAAAGAGCCTGAATAAACGTTGTAGAACTAAAAATCTTACTAACACATATATACACCAAAATTTTGCTATATTGACAAAGAGCCTGAAATATTGACAAAGGACCTGAAATAACAATCGTAGAACTAAATGTCGTACTTACGCATTGTAGATCAATTTCTATAAAAATGAACAAATAAAGAAACAAACATACGCAATCACGTGACATAGCGCGATATAGTCCAGCCCACATGATAATTGATAACTGTGGACGTTATTTGTCGACACTTGACAACAGACAACATTAAAAAAAAAAAACCCGTTACACGATACCATAACACCTTGACTAAAGTCTTCGGTGTAAACAATAGCCCTATGAAAATAACCCAATTACAATATGAAACTTATTCGCAACGGTAAGAGAACTAGATCACAACAAAAAAAACTCCAACAAAGGAAATAAAAAAAACGATAGTTTTTTTTTATTTCAGCCAGAATGAACCACACACCTGGATCTCAGGCAAAACTTACCCTCACATTCCTTTGTAGACAAAACACTCAAGTCAATCTTGTATAAAAAAAGCTGGAAATTTATTGATTTTTTTGACATCTTTAAAAAAATACGTTATACCATTAATTTCAATGGATTTCAATTTAAATTGCTCCTAAAACACACCTAACTAATTAAAACTTAAACTGCTTCACGCATTTTTAGAACAAAAACATCAGAAATCATGCATCCTAAAAAAAACTAAAATTATTGCAAAAAAATTCCAGCAGAAAAATTCGAAGTTTTTATTTCTTAAAAGAAGCAGAATAAGTCCAAAAAAAACACTGAAAATAACTACTTCAAAAAATCTTAAAATAATTCAATAGTTGTTTTCAATCATGTTCTATTAGTGGAAAAACACATCCAGAAAAACAATCGATCGCCGTTAAGGAAAAATCTTTTAATAATAAATAAGCAGCAACTGAGCCGACGAAACTTAAAATTATTTCCAGTAGAACCGAAAATATATTTGTTGTCATGAAAAACTTTAAATTATAAGATCTCTTCTAAGAATTTTGGCATTTTGTGCAATCCGGATTAAAGTTTATACTTCCTTTGAACTGACCCCAAATTAGGTCACTAAGCCGATAAAATATGAGCTGAAATCATATGAGCCGAATAAAGTTTTAAGCGAAAAAAGCAAACAGCAAAAATACGAAGTCAAGGACAGTAAAATTAAAAACTACAGGAGTAATCCAAAACACTCAAAGCAACAACATAGAAACTTACGTAGAAAAAAATCAATTCTGCGATGTGGTAACTAAGACAAAACATACGCAGACAAACTACAGGCCGACATTTTTTTGAAAAGGAATATTTCCAGTTTTAAGAAAAAAGTTCCTGGTCAGACTCGAACCCAAGACCTTTGCCGTCCCTGGCGTATTCTTCACCTCCAGGCTAAGTGCCGGACACGCATAGATACAAGTAGATATTGAAAAAAACCAAAAAATGAATAAAAAATGTTTCTTATCTTTTTGCAGAAGATTTCTTCACCACTTTCTTTCGCCACGGCAGAGTGCTATATAAAGCTCTCAAAAAGAGTATTCTGGATAAGAACTAAGTTTTTCGCAACTCCAAGTTTTTCACTACTCTTTCGCTTAACTCACTCAAAAATAAACTAGAACGCAAGGAAAACTTTTATCAAAACGCTTTAAAAACATTCGAATCACAATTGAAAGGACTTAAATAAGATACATCGCTCGAGCCATTCCGATGATGTTTTGTAGCACCTGATTCTTCATGAACAAAAAAGAAAAATCTTGAAAACACCCGAAGACAAAGTAACTCCATTTTCAATGGTCGAAACAAAAATTATCAAGACCTACATACGTGAATATAAATTCACTCTTTTACACTTAATACAAATTGAAAGCAATAAATCGCACACATGAAGTTGCATCTAGTGAAAAAATGGATTCATTCAAATATAATAACATTTCTGGATTGTTTAATTTGACAAATCAAAAAATGTTAAAATTCATGCTTTGAGCACCTTTTTTCAGCATTCAAAGTGAACCTTTCGTCTGTTTAATAAAAAAAAGTGGCAAGGGTCAAAGCAAAATTTCACCGCAGAAATCAATAGACTTGGAAATTGTTCACGCATTTCAATGTACTTCCTCAGCGGGTCTTCTCAACCGTTTATCCATTTTCCTAATAAATCAGCAAATTTAACTCAGCAGTCGAATTGATTGATTATCCCGGCACCTGAACGTTGAAACAAGTCAGTTCAACTGCGTGCTGCATACGAATACGCATTGTTTTGTCGAACCAAATAAAGCCTCAGGCATTTTGCATCTAAGAGCAGTCACGCTCACCCGTGATAAATTTTTTTGATTGTGTCAATAAATACAGCTTACTTAACGACTTTAACACCAACGCCCCTCCCAATTTATGGGCCTACTATATATTTCCAAACCTTCTAGAAAAAAAACAAGGATCAAATAAACTAAGTACTACCTTCTATTTTATCGCTCGCAATTACAACGTGATTACAAGGCTTGTATGATACTTATAAAATGAAAATACCATAAAAATCAAAGTATTTCTAGAAATTTTCAAACTGATTTCAGCAATAAAATGTAGATCGCCCGAAGAAATGAACTGACCTGAACTCGATATCGTGTCTGCACGAAGCAACCACTACAATAGTTACAGCGTTAACCTCCGTCTGCAGCAAAAATGCACCCACCAGAAGAAGGGGCCAAATTGAGACAAACGCGGCAGCCATATTTCGGCAGCTTAAGGTGCTTCAATTGCTAATTGAGCTTCTGATTGTGCGTTACTAAGTTTTCACGTGGTGTATTAAACTTGGTTTCATTTTTATCTAAAATGAAGGGAAATGCAAAATAATAGAGGATGAATAATAACAGTTTTTCATTTCAGGCATTTTAAATGGATGGATTTCGCTGCATTTTTTTTTTAATTGAGTATATAAAGTTTGATTACATTTCCAAAAAAAACACCTGGCTTAAAATAACGGTTTGAGTAAATCAACTAAATATGCAAAAAAACTGGATTGAATTTTTGCAATTTCCCTATCCGAGAAAATATTGAAACTAATGGCTTGTTCCCATAAAATGCAAAGCTGTGATGAAGACAAACACGTAATAAAGCAAGGAAAATCAAAAGAAATTTCACAATTTTGAAAGCTAGCTTGATCATTCCACGTGATGTTTTCTTCATGTGGCATACAGCTAAGTGACATAATTGCCCATCGTCAATGCTTTATCATTATTTGGACAATGTTCAATATTGATACTGACAAAAAGAAACTGAAAAAAATTGTGCAAAGGTCTCCAATAGTAACTATTCATGAGATGAATTGTCTCATAATAATTCTCTTCGAACAACTCGAAAAATGATTTATAGTCATCAATCCTTTTTCACTCAACTGTCATTTTTTCAGTATAAAATCTTAATTTAATTCTTATAAATATTTTCATAGCATTTGGTTTTAGTTGTTGAATAAAGAAGCGATGCCAAAATGCTTCCGTGCTTTTTAAAAAATTGCTACCAATTTAAAGGTAAACAACTGTTTCAATTTCAAAGATTCATGACTTTTCAGAAACTCGCTTTTAGGGCGGTCTATTCGAAGTGAAAAGAAAATACATGTCATTTAGGAGGCACATTTTCAATTCCAACTATCTAATCGAAACGAAATGTAGAAGAACCGTATTAGTAATTGACTTCCAATTGTCTCAAATCGCCCCATTTCGTTCATAATTAATTTTCTTTTCAATTAATCGCCCATAATTTGAAACAGTTATATCATGATCTGTTTCAAAATATCAAGGCAAAAACTCACTCCTTCTGGTTCGTATGATAAGTCGTTATTCTTTTCCATTCGGAGTTCACTTTTATTCAGTAACAACTCGTCAAAAATATATCCTCAAGACGCTGTATCTGATGTGTCCGTACCTGGACGGAAAGCTTTCTATGTCGAGAAAATTTTGTAAGATCTGATGAAAACCGGATCTTAACTTGAGCAAACCGGATCCCATATTTCTTATTAGGATCATATATTTTCTTCCGCAGTTAATCCTTAATTTTTTACGCAATTACAGTTCTCGAAATGCGCTATTTGCTCTCTATTTGGAAATTGAAGGGAAAACTAAAGTAAAACCACAGCAGTAATGTAGCAGATCAAATTTTGAGCATTTTTCCTGAGCACAAAAAAAAACTAACAACGCACCTCGTTTAAACTAAAGCAGAAAATCGAAAATTATTAGAGACAAATTCCAAAGTAAAAACCATGAAACTAAACGAACAGCCAAACCAAGTAAAACGAGCGGACCAATTTTGTAAAACGAGCGGACATAAGGTTGTACAACTTTAAAAAATGCTACGAAAAAGTCAATAAAGAGCTATAATTATGATAATACCCAACAATTTTTACTGCTTTGTACTTGAATTAAGCAGATATTTGATTCTTTTTTGAAAACAGTAGCCTCGATCTTTAACACAACTTACGCTCTCTTTATAAAAAAACACGAAAGCAAAAAAATCAAACGTAGACAGATGGGAGAAGCGGAGCACCACTTGCGATACGACACAAACATAGCATAGCAAGCCAGCAGACAAAAATGAACAAAATCAAATTAGTATTTAAAAAAATTAAAATAATTTCAAAATTTGGTCTCAAATGCTGCTCAATTTGAGGAAGCACTTCCAGCAAAGCAACCATTGACGTAAATAAATTCAGAAACAATTACCGAGCGTAAAATTTGTCGTCAAAATTACCATTGCGTCGAAAACAAAATTGATGTCATGAAACACTTTCAGCTATGAAGCAATAAAAAATCCATGATTTTTATCGTTTTGCGTTTTTTCGGATGCTGGGCTAGTTAACTTATACATTACAGGAGTGAATCGGATGCTGGGTTAGTTAATTTATACATTACAGGAGTTAATCAAAACACTTGCAACTACAATGAAAAATATCTACAGTACGATAAAACTCTGATTTGCGGCAATTAAGCAGACAAAAAAATAATCAGACAAATGATAGACCGAAAATTCTTAGAACCGGAGTATTTTCAGTTCAGTTGTATCTTCAAAGAAAACTGGTTCTGGCTGGAATCGAATCTAGGACCTTTGCCATCCCAAGTTTTCTGTCGAAGCAGAAGAGTTTCAATTGAATTCAATAAGTTCATATATATCTAAGTTCATTCATAAATGCATCAAAATGTATGAATGCACATCTGTAGTTATTAAGAGCATTTTAAGACTTTTTCCTGAAAAAAACAATCCCCAAGACCTATATTAGAGTCCTCGCAACGTTCATTACTCTTAAAAATCTATTACCTTTAACCTCTTTGAAAATCAAGAAATTTTAATGATTGACACTTTCTTGAAAACTAACCCAACTGACCATAAGACGGCTGCAAAAAAATTCAAATTAAAATCCATTTGCGAAGCTAAAACTCAATCGCGTTTTTCCGCGCTAACCAAACGATTGAAAATTAGCCTTATTTTTCGAACTGCAAAAAAAATTTATTTGAGCGTTAAGACGAATTATGAGCGTGACAACTTTAAATTTTCTAAACTAAAACGACTTAAATAAATTTCTTCATTTCGTTCACTGCCAAAGCTAAAGCTTCGTTGATTTGTCATACGATTCAAATTAAATTTCTCTTTTCTGGAAATCCATCCTTTCAAAAAAATAGATAAAACAGAGATATGAAAAAAGTAATTCTTATGATGATGATATAACAGCAGTCTCTATCAAATTTACCAAACAATTCAACATTTTCAACAACACAATAAGTTCAATTATATGCACCAAAATTAGACATTAACTTTTAGATCAGAAACCAATTTTTCAGCATAATTTAATCAGCTATTAGAGTTCAACTAAGATAGCGCCATGCCATGGAATTAATGGCAATTGTTTTACTTTTTAACAGTCATTTTGCCTCCACGTTCCTAGTTTGGTAATTTTAATTAACATTAAAGCGAATACTTAATGTGATAATACAGCAGCGGATTAAGTCGGTAGTTTTGGCATCTGTTTTAACAATTAACGTTTGTGTTGTGGAATTAGTACGTAAAGCGTAAAAAGAAGAAACAAAATCATTCTTCGACTTGGGTCAACTCAAGGTCAAGGTCAACATCGTGGGCCTGTAGATGTTGATCTTCTTATCTGGTCTGGTCTGTACTTTAAGACATCTGGCAGTGGAATCGATCAATTCTCTTCCACCAACATCAAAGCAGTGAGGTATAAACTACATATGACCAGACCCTAAAGCACAAAAACAAGAACTAAATATATGAAAGATTTGCAATCTGAGATGCTCGCCAATTACTTCTGATGGTCTGATAGTGTAATTATCATAGCCAACAGACAGTCGGAAAGAGTCAATGAATGCAAGGAAACATAAAAAAATACTGACACATTTTTTGAAAACCTCAACTTACGAAACTCAAAGCAAGAAATATAGGGCCTTGAAGCTCTTTAAAAATCAAGAATTTAAGGTTGACACTTTTTTGAACACAGCCAATCGAAGATTGAAAAAGAGTAATGAACGCAAGTAAACATAAATGACACTGACTTCGTTGAAAAAATCTCAACTTATTAATTTCAAGAAAAAAATAGATGCGCTTTAAGCTCTTTGAATTGCCAGAACGATTTATGATTGGCGCTTTTTTCATAGCATGAACCCAACGAGAAAAAACTGGATCAACAGGAAACGTTTTTATTCCTCAGGAAATCTACAAATTAAATTGCACTTTCGAAACTAGAAAATGTTCACGAATTTTTGCGCCATTTGCCCGTTCGTATTTGGAGAGTGCTATTTACGTCACTTTCAGCAGATGGATTTCAATTGAGTGCATCAATATTTTAAGACTTTTTCCTGAAAAAAAAATCAGCAACACCTATATAAGAGTCTTCACTACGCTCATTACTCTTAACTTTGATGGACACTTTTTTGTTAATATTAACCCAATTTGAGAAAACTGGATCATTAAGTAAAGTTTTGTTTTGCTGGGAAATCTGATAATTAATTTCCATTTTCGAAATAGGAAGTCGATAACGTTTTTCGTGACCATTACAATTCTGCTGTTCGATAGTGGAGTTTGCCTTCCTTTTAACAATAGAAAAGCCAGGAACTTAAAGAGAAATCACAAGTCAAACCGCGAAAAACCAATATTGAGCGTGAACAATTTTAAGACTTTTCTGGAAAAAAATCAGGAGGACCTTTATAAGAGTACTCACTACGTTCATTACTTTTAAAACTTCTGCCATGTATAACTACCCTAAAAGTAGCTCTAAAAGGATCAAAAAGTGAAGAAAAAAAAAGAGAATACTAAGTTAATCTAACAAAAACTCTGCAATGTAACAGAATCCAACCCACGACGTGAATTCCGTTTCGCACCGTTGCATTTACACCATGGGCGCTTAACAAAAATTCAACACTAGGAGCCCAGTTAAAGCTGAAGGTACCTGTTTGGCAATATATATATTTTTACACCGAAGACTTTAGTCAAGGTGTTATGGTATCGTGTAACGGGTTTTTTTTTTAATGTTGTCTGTTGTCAAGTGTCGACAAATAACGTCCACAGTTATCAATTATCATGTGGGCTGGACTATATCGCGCTATGTCACGTGATTGCGTATGTTTGTTTCTTTATTTGTTCATCTTTATTTATTTAATTATCTGTTCTTCTATTTATTTAATTATGTTTAGTTTGCTTATATTTATTTATAATTTATGTATGTACATATTTATTTTTGTTTATTTTTATCACGTGTTTTGTTTATTTATTTAATTATTCTTTCTTTCATTTAGTTTTGCTTTTATTATTTCTGCGTGTGTATTTA